CACGTGATCGCGTTATTCTCGGCGGGGACCGCGGATGAAATGACGCAGACGTCTGAAGCATGTCAAACACTGGTTCGAAATGACTCTATTTTGAACTAACCACTAAAAATTACTCTCATATTGTAATAAAGTTACACGCAGGCTTTTCCAGTTTCGGGTCCAGGTCTCCTTTTGATGTGACGACCATGAGTGATCACTGAGGAAACATCCCGTTGTGCCTCAGTTTACCGCAGCGTGAAAACCACATCGTTGATGACACTGTTCTCATTTCAAAACAGCCACAGCTTAATACAGCCAACCCTCACTCAAAGGCTTCCTACTGATCAAAAACGCAAAATGTGTTTCTAAGACAAATATTAATTTAAAATAACCACAACTGAGTTTAGGATTTGTTCTCTCTCTCTCTCTCCCTATGCCCCTCCCTCTCACTGCCTATGGCTCCAAGTTCTAAAACTTCAATCTCTATACTTCTTGGTGAATAATTTTTTAAATCACTGGCTTTAGAATTGTGTATGTATTTGATGAAAGTAAATATAAAATTAATATTTTAAAAAGCAAATGTAGTATAGGTATCAGTTTAAGGTACATATTTCCCAAAATTTTTTGAAAAAATATTTTTATTAGTATAGGAATAAATGTATTCCTATTACAATTTGTATTGTTTCTCCTCTCAGTTTTCTGGGATACTACTCTTTAAGAATTACAAGGAACCAGTTCTAACTAATTACATATTGGAAATATATTGTGATTCTTCACATTCTGAAGAAAAATGCAACACAAATGGCATCAGGAAAAAAAAGTGTGGGTTTTTGCTCAAAGCACGTTTTTAGTTTATTACTCTGAAATAAAGCATAGTAATAATTTCTTATGTAATTTGCTCATTTAAACATAGAGACTTAAAATTTTGTGGAATACCTTTTTTACTTTAATTTTGAGATAATTATAGATTCACATGAGGTTGTAAGGAATACTACACAGAGAGTCCCTTATCCTCCTTGCTCACCCTCCCCCCTACCCAGTGAAGGCATCTTGCAAAACTATGTCACAATATCATAACCAGGAAGCGCTGCCACCATCCCCAGACCTTACTCAGACTTCACCAGCCTGACGTGCGCTTGTGTATGTTCAGTTTCATGCAATTTTATCACACGTATAGGCTCAGGTGACCATGTGGAATATCTTTTTAATGAGTTTCTGTTTTTATTGTTTCATCTTGGCTTTCCTTTTGAAAACATCCATGTCTGTATGTCTTAGATTTCTGTTTCTTCTTTATGGCTTCCCGATTCTTGGCTGCAGTAACTTGTTCATCTCTTCTTTGAATTTTAGTGGCTCATTCGTGAACTCTTTGCTTGTGGAGAGACTGGTATTTGGTTTGCTTTCTGCTGCACATTTCTCCTTTCCCAGGAAAAGACACAAACATAAACAGACATTCCAGCATGCATTTACAGGGTTTTTAAAGACACCAGTGAGAATAGATTAATATAAATACTAAGCTTAAAAACTGTCATAAAAGTTCAGCCTTTAAAATTGGCTTATTAAAATATTTGTTTTTTTTTAAAGCCCAGATTTAAACTAAAGTTATGAGTTATAGTGTTCTGCTCAGAAAGAGTTTACTTTATGGGGTTTTTTTCCAGGCAACAGGATTCCAGCATCTGTGCTGTCTATCTAGAAAATAGTGAAGCAAGGATGATGGAAACACGATTCTTTCAGCCCAAGCCCTGTCTGAAAATAGGAGTTTCAGAAACCCTCGACGAAGCACTGTATCTCAAACAACCTCGAGCAGCCACGCACGAAGTCCATCTCTGGCCAGACGGGTAGCAAGGCTTCCTCCATGCAAGGCTGAACGAGTACTGCTGATATTGAAGGGGACGCTACCCGCAGATAGAGGTCAAATCGCTGTATCAGATCCTACCGATGGGTATTTTCTAACAAAACATTACTTATATTTCAGGTAGCTCAGCCTTTCATTCTACTTCTTCTAACTAATCGAAAGCTTTACTGGGAGCCTGCATTTCTATTCTCCTCCACAAGGAATTGATTTTCTTTTGAGAACAGCCAGCATCCCGAATACAGCAGTTAGCAAACACTTTCAAGAACTAAACTTTTTGGAGGGAGGAAAAGGCTTACATGTATGACACGGTGAGGGGAGTCATGCACTTTCTCCAAAGTAACTAAAAGTTCTCGAAAAGAAAAAAAAAAAATCAGTTTGTTGAATAAGGCAACCTACTGAAAATCTGTGCATACTTTGCAGAAGTTAAGAAGACATTTTCTTTAACCACACAGCAGAGAACGGGACAAATACCGCTTAAGTAACAGTCACCTTCCCCCACTCTCCAAGCCAGGAGTCAGAACCTGCTCTGAAGGCTCAGGCATGTAATGAGAATACTAAAAACTTCTTCTGAGATTTTTTGATTAGATGAATCCAGCTGACCGGCTGATTTATTGTCTAATTGTGCTTTTAAATCCCAGGCCAAAGAAGAAAGGCAGGATAAATACCAGCACTGCCGTACACCACCACATCCTCATTTCTCTTATGTCAGAGGACAGTTTAGGCTTTTTTTCTTGTTACTATTAGTCTAAACACAATTTTTTCATACATGTGAAAATATCTCTCATTAGACATTATAATCACACACAATTTACTGAGATGTCTGTAAATTTTTTGCTGATACATATATAATTCATGCTTATTAGAAATAGTACAAATAAATAACAAATGCCACTTAGCAACATTTTCAGGAAATCAGACCAATTATGATGGTATTTATGCTCATCGGGACTAATGGATTAAAAACAAAAAGAATACAAATATGTTTGCCTAACATGTCTGATAAATAAAAACAAGGGGTTCCCAGAATCACTAGTGTATCAAAAATTTCCATATTTCCCTTCTCTTCTTATAGAGAGTATATAGCTAAAGAAACTGACCTATATCAACTATTCAGTAATATTCGGGTATATAAAAATGAAAATAAATAGGCCCCATATAGATCATTTGTTTTCCAACTGTGTTATCTATTATATTTTTTAAGAATTTTTTTCCAAACAAGCTCTTAACAGTTTTCATTTACTTATTACAAATGTTGCATTTTATTTTCATGTAATTTTTAATTGTGGTCTTTGGCTGATTCCCTAACTTTTAAGAAGTACAATTATTTTTATATGAATTTTAATGTTCCTACTGAATTCCTGCATCAGAGTAATCTCTCCTGGTATTTGTGGTCAATACTTTTCTGGAGGGCAGTCTTAACGCTAATTCTGTTGACATTTTCCTTAAACAAAGCTGTACGTGTGTGTTTTAAAAAGATGACATGTCTCATCTGTTTGTTCTTATTTCAGATGTAAACCATGTAGCCCGTGGATGGTATAAAGGACAAATGGAGTAACTAATGGAAGCTCATAATTTAGGCACAAAAACCAGAATTAATGTATTATCCCGCCGCAGCGTTTAGGACGCAGCCAGTCCAAACTTTCTTTCTAGAGAAATACGTGATTGAGACATTTTCCATCTGGTTTTGACAGAGACAGAAGATTCCCACAAGTTATTCTCTACTCAAAATTATTGTTAAAAAACTATAAAACAGTCATTACCTTAGGCTATTTCATCAAAAGAATTTTCAGTGACACCGAAATAAAAGCTAAAAACAACGAAGTAAAGCCCGCTTGTGCTCATCAGCCTTTCGTGGCCAGAGCAACAACATTCGCAGATGCCGCAGAACCACATAAAAAAGAAATAGGTACGTTTGGGAGGACGGGTGGCCGAACGCTCCGGATTAATCTAAATTCCTTCTGTGCGAAGTGGAGACTTTTGCAAAAACACGGCGAGGCGAGAGGGAGACTAAGGCGAACTGGAGAGGAAGGGTTTAGCCGGCCGGGAAGAAGGGTCCTGCAGCCTCCGTTCCCCGGACGCGTGGGGACAGGGGGTCGCGCCGCGGGACCCTCAGGAAAGGGCGGCGCCGCCGCGGCCGGGGCTCTCCAGAGGGACTTGGAAGGTGTCCGGCGCAAAGGAGCCGGTGCAGGACGCCCTAATCGCTCTTCCAGAGGAGACCAGGACCTGCAGCGCCGCTGGCGGCTGTGTCCCCCGTGCCCTCTCCCCGCGCAGGGCCGGCGCGCACCGCCTCTCTTTGCTCCGACCGGTTTCCCAGCCTGGACCCCTCGCGCTCCCCTGCAGGGCTGGCCGCGGGGCGCAGCGCGGGCCCCTCCCAGGCACTCCGGGTTCGAGGCTGGGACCTGAGGGTCCCGCTCCTAAGTCAGCTCCATTTGCCTGCGGGCGGCCGGGGACTCCCAGCGGCTGTCTGAACCCAGCCCCGGCGCTCTGGTTCCTGCGCCCCCGGCACAAGGCCCATTACCGGAGCTCCCACAAGCGCCACAAGCGCAGGACAGGGTCCTCCCGCGCTCCCTGGGCAAACCTGTGCGCCGTCGGCCGGCACCTCTACGCCCACTGGGCCGGCCAGGAGCCGACGGCAGGGCACCGAGGGCGCGGGCCAGGACCCCCCGCGTGAGCAGCCGGGGAGGTCTGGGTGTCCGCCGACCAACGCGCTCTGCGGCTCCCCGGGGAGAGGGCGAAGCCACAGTCGCGGCACAAGCGGCTGCAGCAGCTTCGCGGGAGGCCTCCGCTACAAGGGACGCAAAGGGCAGCTGGTCCCCACCTCCCAGCGCCTGGCCGGCCGCAGAAGACTTTTTCCCGCCTACAGTCACCCAGTGATGCCCCCCTACTACCGAGAATGCAAAGTGCGACCTTTTGTCTAAGAAGTGCCTTTGGACCCTGCTCGGGGGATGCCGTCCGCCGGTTCCCAACTGACACGGCGCACAGAAGCCTGAAAAAGTCCTCAGGGGCGCCCCGAACACGGGAGCTTCCCGACCGCCCCCCGCCCGTTGCCAGGAGGAACGTGCGCCCCATCTGCGGCGCCACGGCCCACGGGGCTCCGCGCGGAGAGGCGCGCGGGCCCGGCCGCCCCACCCCGCGCCGCAGGGCGCCCGTCGCGCAGCACCTACCCTGGCGCGCCGGTCCGGAGGGCGGCGCGGCGCTAGTGGGAGGCGGACATGGACCACGCGCCTTCCATGCGCCACACGGAGAAGGCGTAGCTGAGGCGCTCGTGGGCCACGTAGCTGCAGCTGGTCATCTTACTGTCCATCTCGTCGCTCTGCAGGACCTGGTAGAGGAAGTCAATGTACCTGGCGGCCAGCTTGAGCGTCTGGATCTTGCTGAGCTTGTCCGAGGGCAGCGTGGGGATGATCTTGCGCAGCGCGGCGAAGGCCTCGTTGAGCGACTGCGTGCGCTGGCGCTCGCGCACGTTGGCCAGGATGCGCTGGCTCTGCAGCTCCTCGAAGGACTGCGCGCTGGGGCTGCCCTTCTTGCCGCGCTTGCCCGGGGTCGGGCTGCCATCTTCGCTCGACTTCTTGCTGTAGCGCCGCTTCCGGCCAAAGCGCTTGGGCTGCCGCTCGAGCTCCTCCTCGCTGGTGCCCAGGCTGTCCACGGGGGACACGGGCGAGCTGGAGCCCTCCTCCATGGCGCCCGCCCGGCGCGCGTGGGGCTGGGGCGCCGGGGCGCCGAGCGCGGCGCTGGCCGAGCCCGCGGTCGCCGAGCACCCGCGCTCGGAGCTGCTCGAAAGGCTCTGATTTCAAGGCCGGCTTGTGCAAAACCGAGGTCTCTGGGAGAGGAAGTTATTCTAACTTTTTTGGAAACTCTAGCCGGGCTGGGTTGCTAAATAGTTGTCAGGAGGGAGGGCGGCGCGCTGATTGGCCGCGGTGGCCGGGGGCAGGACAAGTTCTGGGGCCTTCGCCGGCCGCCCCCGCCCCCGGCGCGGCACTTTCAGTTTTGCCTCCCCCTTCGGCCTGGGCCGCGGCGGGCACCCCGGAGGCCCGGTCCTCGCCCGCCGCCGCGCCCCCAGCCCGAGCGCTGGCCACTCCCGGGCCGCCGCGAGCCCCCAGCCTGGCCGAGCCCGGCTTTGTCCGTGCCTTAACGGAGAGATTGGGCCCCGCCCGGCAGCAAGGTCTCTCCCGGGGCGCGAGGGGCGCGTGAGGCGAGGCCGACCCCAGATGCGCTCCCCCGGAGATGAGGGCGCATACGGTTGCCTCCTGGGGCACCCGGACCCCTGTGTGCCTTGGCCGCCCCTGGGCGCGCAGCGGGTCGAGTCTGCGCTGCGACCCGCAAGCTCCGGCCTTGGACGCGGGGAGCTGCGCGGGCAGCGCTCCCGGCGCCCCGAACGCGGGCGTGTGGACACTCGGGGGCCTTGAAGACGCCGGTCCCCACGGACGCGCCACTGAGATCTGCGGAGATGCCGCCCGCTCGGGCCAGTCTGTGTGTCAGGGACCGTGTCTCGCCCCGACGTGCTGGAGACCCCCGGCACCGACGCCCCTCCCGAACCTTCCTGTTAAGTGCTTTAAAACTTAAGCGCCATAGCCAGCGAGCCTCTGCGGGAGCGCCCGGCGCCCGCCTCGCCCTCCTGCCCGGGATGCTGGGCACGGCCCGGCCCGCCTTGACCCGCCCAGCCTCTGCGCTCCCCTTCGCTTCGCGGGTCAGTAGTGGACGCAAGGAACTGCTCGGGGCTGCCCCGGGCCCGGCCTCTCCTGCCCTGGCCGCCCGCCGGCAGCTCCGGGCCAGAGGGCGGCTGCGGCGCGGGGCCCGGCCTCGGTGGGCAGCACAGGGGACCCCGGCCCGCGCCATCTGGATGCCGAGCGCGAGCGCGTTTGAAGTGGTTCGGGGCTCTTTGTTCGCCAGGCCGCTCTGGCTCCGGGCCTGGAGGTGGTTTACGGCTTTGATGCCTTTGAACCTATTCCCAGGTGACCGGGCTCAATTAGGCCCGGGCCTGAGCGGGCTGTCAGGCGAGCCGCCTGATCCAGGGCGGGCTGGGCCGTTATTGAAGTTGAACCCGGGCCGGGGAGCGCTCGGCCTCCGCTGCTCCGTGTCCTGCCGGGCGGGCCGCGAGGTGGGGCCCGCGGGCCGCGACCACCGCGCTAGGAAACCCGAGGGCCGCCGCGCGCCGGCCTTTCGCGCTGGTCTCCGAGGGCTCTGGTTCCGGCCGCTCTTGGGGACGTTTTCCCAACAGTCGGTCAAGGAAGGCAGAACTCTATGAAGCCCAGGCCCTTCCATGCGCGCGACCACGCAACAGCGCTACGTGAAGCTTCTTGGCAACCTGCGGGCTTCACAGCCCCATGACCGAAGGGTCCGGAGTCACTGCGCCCCGCTCCCCCGGCCTGACCGCCCTCCCTCCTCCGCCCTGGGAAGGCCCGGGGCTTATCGTGCGCAGCAAAATAGCTTTCCATATACCTTCCTTTGCAATTCCCCCCCCAAATGTAAGGAATGGAAGAGAGAGCAGCCAGGTCCCCAGCTGTCCTGTCTGCGCTGGGGCCTTCCTGGGTGGCAAGGACGGGCCTGCTCCCGGAACTGGCCTTTCCCTGTCTTCCCTGCTCAGAGCAGCAGCGCGGCGATGTGCTGCTCTTTTACCGAGGCTGTGTGTTGCTCAGGCTGGGGAGTCCAAGGACCCAGATCCCCATTTCCAGCCAGGCTTGCATGAGCCCGGGCTGTCTCCCCTTCCCAAACCTGGAGGGCATTTACCAAGGACAGGAGTCTGCCTTGCAGCCTGCTAAGCCCTGTGTGGGCCTGTGGCGTTCTCTGTCTGCGTCTCTCCGTTTCTGTCTCTCTGTGCGACTCTATCATATTCATTCTCTCTCCGCCCCCCACCCCCACCCCTTCAGTCTGAAAGGAAAACAGCTCAGCTGAGAAGTCTGGTTAGGTCCTGAGCAGCCCCGGGCTCAGGGGTGCCCCGGTGGTGGGCACGCTCACACTCAGGCTGCAGCGTCACTTTTGCTTGGAGAGATGGACACGGGGGATTTTACCAGAGACCCTAGTGGACACTTTGTGACTTTCACAATCCAGTCCAATAATCTGGATGAACTTTCTTCGGTGTCACATCTATTTTAAAATATCTTCACAATAAATTAAAATAGTAGAGTCTGTGATACTGGTAATTGCTTGAGGAAAACCTGTGTTGACAGAACTTGGAGTGCCTTTCTTAGGATATGTTGTCAACTTCTCAGTCATTCCCTGGGCAGTGACCCACTGTCAAGGGATAAAATAAGACACAGTGACATTCACCAGCATTTCTGATGTCACCTGCAGGTTGCAGGGGGACGTGATGGTCCCTAGTTTTCACTGTTTTGCGGGGGGAGGGGAAATTGGCTGAGCTGGAACCCAAATGAAAAAGTCATCAATTCAGGAAATCATACTGGGGTTATTGATAGAGTTAGAGTTTTTCTTTTAAAAAACAAGGCAGTGATGAGGCTAATAAAAGCAGCTTATTGATAACATACATGACAAAACGTATTTGTGTGTGCGTGTCCACCGCAGGGCCGCCCAGGCTCACTCCGACCTGTGTTAAATACCGCGCAGTGAGGATTCATGGAAGTAAATACAGCTCCTGGTCTGTGTGTTCATTATTGGTTATGGAAAATCATGTCGATGTCTCTTTTCATATATGTAAAAAATGTCCTTTGTTCCATGTGACTTGTTTAAAAAAAACAAATGACCTGATGTTCCGAAAGATTCTTCTATTGCATGTTTTCCTTAGGGCAGCAAGTAAGAGAAGTTGGTAGGTTTTCACAGTGAATTTGACGGCTGTTAGCTTGGCGTTAATCTTGCTGCAATACAATGTGACACTGCTGGGGTTGTCACCTGGGGATAACCTTCCATAATAGGACATGGTTATACAGTCCCTGACCTTTATTGCCATAATAAAATGTGTACTCGTTTTAGATCTGAAAAAATTTTGACAAACCCTCAGAAGCTGTATGAAACAACAAATGTGTGCATTCAATTGCCATTGCTGCTACCTTCTGTCCAAACAGCTGCATAGGTGAGCCCACCTGTGCTCTCGGCAGACCCTGTTGTGGTTTAACTCTGTGAAGTTCTTGATGGAGCGCAGAGGCAGAAAATAGGTATTTAAAAAGGCTCTAGTATACAAACCATAATGGTTTGGAGGGTTATCTCCACTTGAATTTAGTGAACTGACGCTTGAGCAGATGAGCAAGCAGCCCGTATTGATGTGACAGAATCAATCGCATCAACGAATCGATGACATTTATCAAGAGGTTTGTAACCACATCTCCCAAACAGCAGGTTGCTATTCACAAAGCACGTTCTTCTGCGTTGCTAATGGGAGTGGTAGCACCAATGGCGGGCCCACCCCGATGTGGCACTCCCCTGACGCTTTCCGTCAAAATAGCGTTGGTGCCTCGATTTTGAATTATTCTATTTTAGATGTAGATGACAGTGCATGTGACCCATTATTTTCAGAAGTCACAAATCTCACAGGTAGGCTCTTGAAAATTATCTGACATTTCTGTGTAAGTTGTAGGGGCCTTTGGCCTCACTTTGCTGAACGTTAGAAACATGTCGTCACAGCAAAAAAGCTGCTCTTGGACTGTAGATGGTTGGATTTATTCTTAGCAGAGCATTATCCCTCCTCACAGCACCCTGTCCCACTAGGATTTCAATCGCCCAGCACGTTCCCCGGTGCGACGTCACAGCTGGAAGGGAGGGTCACTGAAATGGCATATTTTTCAGTCTTGAAACACAGTGTTTAACTTGCTTCTCAAATCTCGTAGTGAAATACAGTTATTCCTGGTGATGGGCATCAGAACACCTTCCGGACATCAAGTCCAAGAGCCAGCCATCCGCCTAAATCGCGGCAATGACGCCAGCGGTGGGGAGCTGTGCGTGCAAAGGCTGGAACCTCGTGTCCAAGGCACACAGCATGTACAGGCAAGATTCCGCTTTACAAAGTCCCACTGCTGTTGGGAATGTAAAGTAGTACGGCCACTGTGGAAAGCAGCATGAAGCTTCCTCAAAAAGCTACAAGTAGAACAACCATGTGAGCCAGCAATCCCACTGCTGGGTGTATTTCCAAAGAGAAGGAGAGCAGTATGTCCAAGAGTTATCTGCACTGCCATGTTCACTGCGGCACTATTCACAATAGTCAAGATATGGAATCCGCCTACACGGAGGACTGGATAATGTGTTACACGTGCAGTGGAATAGTATTCAGCCATAAAAAAGAAAGAAAGCCTGTCATCTGCAGCACCATGGATGGAACAGGAGGTCATTATGTTAATTGAAATAAACCAGGCACAGAAAGACGCATAGTGTGTGTTCTCCCTCATGGGAGCTGAAATCCTGGCCGTCACGGAGGCGGGGCAGAACAGCCGTTACCAGAGCCGGGAAAGGCAGGGAGGAGGGTGCTGGAGAGAGGTTGGTTCAGGCTACAAAATACAGTCACGTGGAAGGAATAAGTTCTAGTATTTGACAGTAGAGTAGGGAAATTGTAGTTAAAATAATTTATTTTATATTTCAAAACAGCTAGAAGAGAAGGTTTGTGATATCTCCAGCACAAAGAAAAGATAAACGTTTGACGCGATGGAAATCCCATTCACGCTGGTTTGATCATTACACATTAGGTGCTGGCACCAAAATATCACGTCCCCCTAAGTACGCACAACGAGTATATCAATTAAAAAAAGAAAAAAAGAGAAATGACATAGGGTCTAATCAATATAAAAAATAATTTTAAAAATCCCCTGAAAAATTCCCTCTTGGAAAATCACTCAGTAGGGCACGCGGCATGGCTACACCGTAACAGCTCTCCCTGGCGGCTGGGGCCGCGGCCGCGAAGTTTAATAGCATCATTCCCCGGTAGCCCCTTCCTCCCTGTGTGTGGCTGGCCAGGGAGGGGGTCCATCTGTCTTCTCCTCTTGATTCCTGAAGGGCAGCAGATGAGAAGATGGGCGTGACCCCCCTCAGGCCCCGGCAGCCCTGGTCTGCGAGACGTACTCCTGGGGACCCGGAGGGGAGACGCGCACTCTCCACGCCACTGCTCAGCCCGGCTTTCTCGGCAGCACGGTGTCCAGTCCCTGGATGTCTGGAGGCACAACCCGGGCATCCTTTTCTGGGGAGGAGCACGGCAGGAATGGCGTGTCTTGGGGGCTGGCAGCAGCGGTGGCAGCAGCTCCTTGATTCCAGGTGGTTCTGGAATCACTGTTTTCCTGATGGGAAGAGGCAGCAGCTCCGGTTTTACAGTATGGTTTGGAAGTCAGTCTTGAAAGCTCTACCTAGAGCCTGTTTACTCATCTCCACAAATGATTCCATCATAGCCCCTAATAAGTCATTTCCGGCTTAAACTGGCCAGTACGGGTCCTGCTCTCTCTAATGCTGTGGATCCCAGACCCTGGGCCGAGCACTGGTACCGGTCCATGACCTGTTAGGAACCAGGCCACACAGCAGGAGGTGAGCGGCAGAGAAGCTTCATCTGTGTTTACAGCCGCTCCCCATCGCTCACATCCCCACCTGAGCTCCGCCTCCTGCCAGATCAGCGGGGCCATTAGATTCTCCTAAGAGCTTGAACCCTACTGTAACTGCACGTGGAGGGATCTAGGTTGCTCCTTATGAGAATCTGACGCCTGATGATCTGGGGTGGAGCGGGGCAGTGATGCTAGCGCCGGGGAGCGGCTGCAAATACAGATTATCATTCGCAGAGAGGTTGGACCGCACGGTGAATGTAACGTGTTTGAATCATCCCCAAACCACCCGCTTCAGCCCTGGTCTGTGGAAAATTGTCTTCCTTGAAACCGGTCCCTGGTGCCAAAAAGGTTGGGGACCGCTGCTCTAATGGACTCCTGGCAGGGACACCCCACTCCTGGACTGTGGTCTGGAACGTGGACACTGGGATTCCCACCCCCTTGAGTTCCTGACATCGCGAACATCCGCTCGCAGTGTGGAACCAACGTTGGCCTTTGGCACAGGTTTACAGATGCCTTTAAGGCCTGATCAAAGTTGTTCTCGCAACAAACTCATACGGCTTTTTCTAACTTGGAATATATACCAAATTTCAATTTAAAAATAACAATGGAAAGATGAAACAAGACATAAATAAAAAGGCAGAGAGGACGGGATATAGGGGCTGGGATGGAAGCCAGGCTCTTCTGAATAAACTTTGTTTTGTAGATTTGACTTTGGAATCATGTACATGTTTTACATAATTATAAAAAAAAGAAATCAAATTGAAAAAAGTAGAAATCCCTA